TTTATATGGGCCTCTACCCCAATGAAGTAGAGATTCCGTGAATCAGATTTACAGGCTAGCCTTGAAGAAATGGTGACTAAACGTAAATTGCACGTAGTCAGCAATCAATAAAATGTTGGATGAATGAATGAAGTAGTTTGATTTTCTTCCTCTGCCATCTCTCTGGACTCTTCTCCAGTGGTATGCTGATGAATGTTTAACAATCACCTGTCATGTTTACCAATTTCTGTAGTGTAAATACTCCCACCATGGCAAATTTCAGCCTACCAATCTGACATCACTTAACATAGAGTTGGGCAGAGAGGTGCTCCATTATGTAATAATTCCGAGATACGGATGGAAAAGATATAGTTTTAAGGTCATAGATAATAATGAAATGAAAAATCATTTGGAGCTGATGATTATTGAGCATTTATTGCCCTTGTTTTTAATATAATTTATTCATTGTAAATAAATATATATATGTGTGTATATATATATATATATATATATATATATATGATTTGTTCTTTAATAACAGTTTACCAGCCTTGCAAAATTCCAGAGACTCTTAAGAGTTGGCTCACAGGAGTCCTTAGGAGTTGGCTCTGGCACACCACTTCTTCTTTCCCATTGAACATATGGAAGCTCTGAGTAACAAGACTAACAAATACTCACTCTCTCCTCTCTGTGTTGTCAGAGAAGACTATGAGCTAATAAGTGCTTCCTAACATGCAAATAACCAAATGATGGTGTATGCATCCTCCCTCTGTGGAGCCCCTCCAGCTCTCTGCACCCCTTTTTGTGACATTTTTCTCTTTGTCCTATGTGTGTTAAGAATGATTTGTGTACTTGTCCCCTCCACTGGGGTCTATGCAATCAACATTTTGAAACCCAGATGTCAATCGATGTTCTCTGTCTTTGCGATCCAAGTGGAATTGGATCCAATGCATGGAGCCACTGGTGGGAGGCTGCGTCCCTTCCATCCAGTCGGCCCAAAGGCAGGGCTGGGGAGAGATCTTGTTTGCCTGCTGTCCTCTGACTGTGCAACCCTGCAGATGACGCCCTCCTATCCCGCAAATGAGTCATCATTATGTCCTTGTGAGTGCCTGCGGCATCCCAGTCCACAGCACTTTCCCTCTGATGTCCCTCAGAATATCACGCACTCAAGACACGCATGTAGCACATTTCACTGAGGTTCGGGCTATTTTGGAGTTGTGTTTTGTTGCTGTTGTTTTTGTCGTGGTTGCTGTTGCTGTTGTCATCATTGCCATTTTACATTCCACTGTGGTTTGGCCCTTTTTTTCTCTGTAAAGCCTTCCATCTTTCCTTTCTCTAGGCCCCTATTCTGCAGCTCTTCCAAGAACTGCATAATACAACTCTTGATATATTACGAGAGGAGATTATTATGCAAAGAAATGTGGCTCTTTTTACTTTTCTGCATACTCTCAGACTCGTTTATATTTACTGATAATCATAGACCCTCAGATCCAAGTCTCCCCCTTATCTTATGTTGAGTTCCTCAAAACTGGACTGTAAGATGAGGTGATCTGAGCAAGAGGGAGCAGAGAAGAGGAGAGATGCACAAAAGGGGCAGCTTCAGCGAAGTCCCACCCCATGGAAGGGAGCTCCATCCTCCTCCCACAGGGAACTCTGGAATGTGAGTTACCCCTCCAGTCAGGGAAGCTGGCCTTCACCCCCACCTCCACCCATCAGTCATGGGCTAAGCCCAGCCCCCGTCTGGCAGGCCTGTCTGCTCTCTGCTGGTGACCACAGAGAAGGCAGTAACTCATGGGCTACTTCTTTCAAGGAATAGCAGGGGAGCAACATACAGGCTTCTCAGAGGTGAAGCCTGGGAAAAAGTAAAAGCTCCTTGAGGAGAGAAATGGGGCAGAGCATGGACAGCACCTGCTACAGTCTTTAAGGGCAAAACAGAACTGCCCAAGGCTTTAGAACACCTTTCTTTCTCTTTTTCTCCTTAATCTTTATGGAGAGAAGTAAACAGAACAGAGATGTATCTTCTACTGTGAATTATGGCACTGCCCTTATATATTATGTTGCTGTTGTTCCTGCAATTGTTAACTGCAGCATAAATAGCTATAGTTAATTTTATTTTAAATATTTTTCTCTCTTCCACACACCTAGAATTAACTCCATATTTCTTTCCCATACATAATCTCAGGGCATCCACATAAAAATTGTATGAGATAAATATTGTTATTAATCCCATTTTTCAGGTGATGGAATTAAGGTTCAGAAAGATTAAGTGACTGGTCCCACAGCTATGGATTGGCTGAGCTGAGACTCAGGTGTGGGTGACGGGGCTGCAGCGACAAGCTGCCCAAGTACATGGCTCCATCTGCCTTCTCCAGCCAGGGGGAAGGACAGGTGCACTCCACTTCATAGACGCCCAACTGACAATCCAAATCACATTTGGAAGTGATCACATGTCCCAGAAAGCAGTTCCAGTATCTGTGGATGAGCAGAAGTCAGAGGATTTGGAGCCCCAAACCTGGCAGGAGTTGATTGAGGATGGTCTGAAAGTCCTACCATTCATTCAACTATTCCTGGAGCACCTACTGAATCCCAGTCAATGCCCAGGTGCCAAACACAGCAGTGATAAAAACAGACACATCCCTTCTCTAATCTGTCTAAGTCTCCTCACCTGTGGCATGGGGTCGATTACCCAGCCTGGCAGATTTGTGGAGGAGAGTTAATGAAGAAATGACATGAACATGCTTTGCCATTTGGCAATGTCATTTTTCTTTCTCAGGTAGTGTATTCATCAAGATGAGGACTCTTTGAAAATGGAATTCTCCTAATTCTGTGCTTTGCAAATGGTACCAATTGTATGTGTGCATACGGAGTAGGGGGAGGAGGGGGAGAGGAGGGAGGAGAGGATGTCAAGGATGCAAACAGGCAGGCTTTCCACTCAACACCCACCCCATAACGCCAGCAACCTTTTTTCTATTAGACGATAGTTATTGGACTTATACCTAAGATTTATTGTGACTAAAGAATTCTGCTTTTAACAGAAGGAAGGAAAGAAGGGAAGAAGGTTAAGAAGGAAGGAAAGAAAGGAGAAAGAGAGTGAGAAATATTGGCTTGGTTCATTTAAAAATCATCTTCAGTTGCAGGAGGAAAACGTTTACGTGCTTGTTTTCAGGAGGACATCTATTGCATAAATTGTGGTCTGAATCTCAGTATTAGAACTATAAAAGACCTATGGAAATTATCCAGTTACTAGGAGGGAAATGTAGCTCAGAGAGGTAAAGTGACTTGTCCTAGGGCACCCAGGTGATTTGGGAGCACATCCAAAACTAGAACCCAGGTCTCCTGACCCCTGTATCAGGTCTTTTTACTGCCTCCTTGCTCTAGAACTTTATCTTTATAGCGAAGATGAACATAGGTAGCTACAATGCCTTGACTAGTTACATTCTGAGTCATTCTGTATATTTTCCATGGTATGTTCTTGTCCTCATTTCAAGGAGAAAACTTAGTGTCCTCATCTCTATAGAGAAAAAGAAAAAAAAATCCCATCTGAAATGCTGCATTCATGACAAATTTCTCAGGCAGTTTTATCTTAGCCTTGAGAAGCATTGATTTACTCAGTCCCCATTAGAGCCCCATGAGGTCAAGGGGACTTTGATAAGTGGATCTGGGGTCTTTGTTACTGTGGCTGGGATGGTTTTCAAACCAGAGTTTGCAATACCTTACTAAAGTGGTGGCTGGCCTTTAGAGGGGCTCACTCAGAAAGTTCTCTCTCTCCATATTCTCTGAGCCTATGGCCTTTGAGCAAGGGAGGAACAGACCAAGAGTGAGCTCTGCCACCAGCTCAGCATGAGAGGGGAGGGCGTGCACTCTGCAGGAGCTGAGGATAACTGGCATTGAGTTGGGTCTTCGGTCCTGACCCTGGGAAGTTGTCGGTAACTATTCTCAGACAAAAAAATGAAATGGCCTGTCCTGCCCAACTGGGAAACCTCTTTCAAGGAGACTAACACTGGGGACAGAGGGAGTGGGAAGCCTAAACCAGAATCCTTTTTCCCCCCAGAGGGTTTGGGAAGTGAAGAAAGGGGAAGCAATTAGAAGTTGCAGAAGGAGAGTGGTAGCTTGGTCAGTGAAATGGAGTCCCTGGTGCCACTGGTAGGACTGTCAAACTGTCAGCTGACAAAGCTGGAAGGGACAGTTAAGCTCTTGTGGCAAAACTGAGTTTCCAAAATAGGTGCAGTGGCTGGTGTTATGGGCTGGGTCTAAGAAGAAATTGAATGAAGATCAACGTGAAGGCCTGTGCTTAGGCCCGGGAAGAAGTCCATTAGACACCATTGAGAAATGATCCATGGTTTCATCATAATGTAAAAAAAAAACAAAAGTCTTGGTTTCAGTTTCCGTAAGTTCATTTTGGGACTAGAGGCATGCACCATCATGCCCAGCTAATTTTTACATTTTTAGTAGAGATGGGGGTTTCACCATATTGGCCAGGATGGTCTCAATCTCTTAATCTCATGATCCCCCCACCTCAACCTCCCAAAGTGCTGGAATTACAGGCATGAGTCACTGTACCTGGCCAGGATTCCCCTTCTTACATGGACCTGGCTGAACACACAGAAGGGGAAGGCTTTCTACTTGACATGAACCAGATGAGCCTTTGCATAGATTTAGAGATCACTTATGCAATACACATGGAGAGTGGGACATGTCCCGAAGAACATGATAGGGATAGTCAAGATGCTTGAAAGTGAGTCTTAGAAGACCAGATTTAAATAACATGATTCTGAAAAAGAAAAGAGAAGAATGTAAGAGCTGCCTCCCAGTGCTTGAAGAGCCATTTCAGGAAAGAAAGGTGGTATTGCATAAGTTTCCAGAGGAGAGGAAAGGAAAACTGAGTGAAATTTATGGGAAGATTAAGTGAAGGATTTGTAGAGGGTTTTGGTGCTGAAGCGAGTGATGAGGGCCTTTTGTCTGAAGCTATAGGAATTGCAGGAATTAAGTAAACTCTTGAGCTGGAAAAGTGAGTGTGTGAGCCTGTGCTTTGTGTGTGAAGAGTCAAACATAATCAGGGTCCACTGAGCAGAGATGCTAATAGTGCATCAGTGAGCACTGTGTTTAGTACTACAGTGTATAGTCAAGAATGTGAGTCCTGATGTAGCTAAGCCTAGGGGGTCAGGGGTGAGAGGTGAGAGTTGAAGGCTAGCTCTACCACTTATTAGCTCTGGCTTGGGAAATATACATAACCTTGTTAAAAGATACTTTTTAATAAAAAAGACAGACTTATGACCCTTGTACATATATAAAATGAATCCATATTAAAGATTTTCTTTAACTCCTCAGTCAGTGAGGGAACCAGGCAGATCTTATAAAGGACTCAAAAGGTTATCTGAAAAACTGACACATTTATAGATCAGAGTATTGAACTAAACAGGCAAATGGAGGCAATTCTGATTCTTCACAGGAGGAGGGGGGAAAGTCAATTGAAACTTTACTAGGCAGGACAGAATTCACATATCTAGAGGCAAGAATTAGTTTTGCATTGCTATCAGTTGTTTATAATTTACTGAGTTGTAAAATAGCTCAAAGACAGTCAAAGACTTGAGTCAGGTCACCTGGAAGGGTGTAATCTGTACAATGTGTAGTTTTCTACTGAAGCACAATTTTTTTTCACATCTATTGGAGTGTTTTTGTCTATCTTGAAAATAGCAATAATTGTGTATCAATAGTTTGCTGTGAGGATTACAAAAAGTGATGAATGTCTTGCATGCTTATCAAATCTTTGATCAAAACTGGTCACGTGTTAAGACTTCTGTGAGGGCCCAGTAAGTTCGAGGAATATGTGGATAATACACTGTGACAGCAGACGAGGCAGGTCTGTGCAGAGTGCTGTGTGGGCCCAGAGGGAGACCCAGTGCTCTCTGCTATGGGAAAGCATGCAAAAGTGGCTGCTGTGCAGGACTTACTAATAACATCCGTGGAGTGATTATGTGCCAACCCATTTTCATAAACTGTCTTGTTTAATTTTTGCAACCACCCCATGGTGTAGATATTAACTTCCCACTTTCCAGATGAGAATACTGTGGTGGACAGACTTTAAAGTGGCTTCCATGATCTTCTCTCTTGATAGAACAACAAAGTATAGCAGTGCCTTGCTAGAGTTTTTCTCTCTCCTTTTCTGGCTTTGAAGAAGCAAGCTGGCATGCATCTCTGAAGTCATAGAAAATGAAATGAAATCTGCCAACAACCTGAGAGAACTGGGAAGTAGGTTCTTCCCCAGTTGAACCTCTGATGAGAACCCAGTCCTGGCCAACACTCTGTGGCCTTAAACAGGAGACGTAGATAAGCTGTGCCAGTCAGTTGACTCATAGATACTGGGAGATGATAATTCTGTGTTGTTTCAACTGCCATGTTCGTGACAACCTGTTACATGATATAAAATGTCAAGAAAATAGTAAGGATATACCTATCAAGTAACTTGCCCACTGCTCCACACTGAAAGTATCAGAGCCATGATTCAAACCCCATTCTTTCTGACTCCAGGAACACAGCCTTGCCCATGGCAGGCACTCGCTGCAGGTTCATGTTTCTTTCACAGGTGACCAGCTAGAGCCAGTACTCACATCTACACAGTCAGACTCCAGAGCCCACCATGTGAGCTGGTGACTTCTTCCTTCTAGAGAGTGGCTTTTAATGCTGACTGCACGTGACTATCACATGGGGAAGCTTAAATACCAGACCAGCATGTGCCCCACCCAGGGCAAGTATATTAGAAGACGCATGGGTTAAAGACAGACGTTGATGTTTGGTTTCTTACAGTGCACAGATGATTTTAATTCATATCTAGCTTTGCAAACCAGGGTTCCAGGACACTGTGATGTCCAGGAAATCCAGGTCATCATTACATCCTGGAAGAATATCCTTATTAAAAGAAAATTTTCTAGAAAAGATAAAGTCATGACTCTTATACAGATATAAGACAGTTTTACACACACACACCCCACAGACACACACACACACAGACACACACACACACACACACACACAGGGTTATGTTCCAGTAAATCCATCATAAATTGAAAATAATGTAAGTTGAGAATGCATTTAATACACCTGAACTACTGAACATCATAGCTTAGCCTAGCCTACCTTAAACATGCTCAGAACACTTCCATCAGCCTACAGATGGGTAAAATCATCTAATATATAGCCTACTTTGTAATAAAATGTTGAATATTTCATGTAATTTATTGAATACTGTAATGAAGTATGGCTTCTACTGAATGCATATTGCTTTCACATAATTATAAAGTAAACAATTTCAAAGTCAAACTGTTGTAAGTACGGGACCATCAATATGTGTGTGTGTGTGTGTGTGTGTGTGTGTGTGTGTGTGTGTGTGTATTACCTATATTGTACAAAAAATGGCTCAGTGACAATGAATAGGCCTAGAGCCTGATAACCCAGAGCAGGCACAATTTTCCATTGAAATGAAAACATTGTTTTCCACGCCCAGCTCTTTTTGCCTAGGAAGGGCAAGACACCATCCAGTCTGTTTGGTTGGCACCAATCATCTTCCCCAAGTGCTCTGACAAGTCTGCTAGGCAGAAACAAAGGAAAGGCACAGAGGATGAACAGAGGGTTAGAGAATGGGGAGGGGATCTTCCAGGGAGGGCAGAAACTTACTGATGGATGAGACAGGCAGAGGCCAGTGAATGGGAGGCCTCACTGCCCATTATCTCAGAGAAGATGGGCCCTGCTAGAATTGCTCCCAGTGTGTCTAGAAGCCCAAATACCCACAAGTGACCTGTCTCTCTTCCCACGCAGATAAATGGTCCATGAGAAAGGGCCTGTCTGCTTCCTGTTCATCACTACTCCCAGTTAATTAAACCCCTGGGGCCTGTGCTGAGCCACACTAGCTTGTCTGCCTCCTTTGCAATAGCCTGAAGTCCAAAATGCTCCCTGCTGCTGCCTCCTAGACCCTGATGCAAATACAAATTACAAACCTCCTCTAGATCCAGGAGGTGTCCTAGGAGGGAGAGGTCTGGAATGAGTCTGAGCTGAAGGCCTCCTATGGGCCAGGCATGGTACTAGAATTTTCTGTGTATGCTCTCACTTGATTCTCGCATCCAACCTCTTACAATTGCCCTAAGAATTGTATTGATTAGACCCATTTTGCAAGTGAGGAAATTGAGGCTCAGAGTCAACCTAGTCCAGTATCGCCCCAGAAATTTGGTGGCAAAGATTTAAAATCACATTTCCTGATCCTGATATTCCTTTCCCTTGCTACCCCTTTACTTATCAAAACATATGCAGCTGTTCTTACTTTCCCTGGGCTCTCCTAGATTCATATTGTGCCTCACTGCACAAAGTTTGATACTGGTACCAGGAGCTCGGAATAGTAGGGCCTACAGAACTGAAGCAGATGTAACTCACAACACCAGCAGCAGCTAGTGAAAAACCTGTTTGCATTTTTTCCCCTAAGTTAAGTGACTAGCCTTAACTTAGGGGGTCTCAAAGCCCTAGAATGCTGTACACTTTTTTTTTTAATTGCAGCCAATGGCTGGTCACCATCAAGAGCTTAGTTGGCTACTGTTGGCTGTCCTTTGTCCATCAGAGTAGCATGTGCCATGCCTACTTTAAGGCTGAGCACTCTCCATTGCTGTAATTGGTATCCTTACAAAGCCATACATATCTTAAGGGCAGAACTGATTCTTGGGTCACTTCTGTATCTTGACACAGGTACAGAGGATTTGGTACAGAGTAATAGCTTAGTAAACGTGTATTGGACAAAGGACTGAGTCAGTAAATATAAAATCCAGAAGCATTTAGAGATGAACATGGAGCCCAGGGAGGGAAGGAAATTGCTGCAACAATCAGCCATCATGGCTATTGTCTCGAGAAGCACAGCTGGGCAAGCAGAAGCTGTCTCTGCCATGCTAATGCCGATGTGGTGCACATTCTTTATTTATTTTTTAATTGCTCTCATTTTGGAAACTTGAAGCCACTAAATGTTTCCATTCTAATGAGATTTCCAAAAGGAAAAGAAGAAAAGTCTAGAATAATCCATGTTTGTGTTATACTGGTGGGAAACAGCACAGGACTCAGATCTGACTTTGTGTTTATATATTTGGCTCTCAAAAGAAACACTGGGGACATTTGTAGAAAGGTGCTAACGAGATTTAAAAAAGTATGAGATGTTTACACCTTTAAGTCTGAGTCTGAGAGGATCAGTTTTTCTATGTGAGTGAGAAAAGTCTCCAGGGCATGGTAAGAAATGTAAGTAATATGCCAATTACTCATTGGCATTTTCCCCACTGCCTTCAGCCTGGAAGTGGTTGAAAAGGCTGGAGTCTGATTTGGCTGCTGTGTAGGTGGAGAAGGTAAATGCCTACTTGAGGTAATTTGGGAGCTGCTGAGAATTCTAGTTTCCATTTTTCCTAGAACCTCTCTTCCTCAGCTGGGGGTCTCATAAGAAGTGGCTGAGTCCTTTGGCACAAGGCTTTATTCCCTATTAAAATGCAAATTCCAGATGCCATTTTATACCTATTAAACTAGCAATACAATTAGCAAATAGTAATCACCCATGCTGGTGAAATTGGAATGAAAACAGGTTATTCTACATTACCCTAGAGATAGTGTAAAATCATGTCACCTTTTAGACAAGATGTCTGACATAATGGAGCAAAAATCCCTACAGATATTCAAAGCCCAGAAATTCCAGAGATGTATTATAAGGAGTTGGTCTTAAGCAAAGAGAAACTACATGTATAAAGGTATTCATCACAGTTTTATTTATAACAACATAGAATTGGAAGAATCTAAACACAAGTATCTAGCAGTAAGGCAATGGCTGTACATATTTTAGAGCACTGATGTCACAGAATGTTGCTCTTTCATTAAACATGATTGTTTTGAATATTTTATAGCTACGTGGAAGACTGTTTATGCTTTAATAGTAAACAATCTAAGAATGCATCTTAAAGAACTAGAAAAGCAAGAGCAAAGCAAGCCCAAAATTAGTAGAAGAAAAATAATGAGAATCAGAACAGAAATAAGTGACATTGAAATGAAAAAATAAAACAAAAGATCAGTGAAAGAAAAATCTGGTTTTTTAAAAAGTTAAACAAAATTGAAAAACCTTTACCAGACTAGAAAAAGTAGAGACATGATCCAAATAAACAAAATCGGAAATGAAAAAGAGACATAACAACTGATACTGCAGAAATTCAAAGGATCATTATTGGTTACTATGAGCAACTGTATGACAGTAAATTTAAAATCTAGAAGACGTGGAAAATACTTCTAGATATGCTTTAATAATATAAAATGTGGACTACAGCACTGTGACAGTGTTTTGTAAACATTGTATATGACTGTGTCCTTGGTCTGGAAAGGGGACAGAGGCAGATGAAAATAGTTCATTTGTTAGGCTTTGAGTTCAATTATAACGATTTTTTTAGATTTTTATTTCCACTGTTTGCTTTAGAATATCTTTTGTGAATGGAGTCTTTTAAGCCCAGAGGACTAGAAATGCATAGAGGGACAAGGTGTCAGTCAGTAGACGTGCAAAGCAACCAGAAATCAATTAGAAATATAAAATAAACAAAAAAGCACTAAAATATCAAAATAAAAAAGAAATTGGAACAGTCTGGACTTGCCCTGGGAAATGCAGAAAAAAGGCTGGCAGGGCAAAAGTAGAGGACTGGGAGGCTATGGAAACCCGGGTGACATAGGGTGGAAGGATAGGGATGACGCAGAGCAGGTGCCCTAGATCCTAGGCTCTGGACGATAAGCCCTAAGCCCTTTTGAGAGATCCTTATGGCTGGAAAGATGTGGAGCAGGATTACTGAGAAAATGCTGGCATCTAATGTAGCCTACTATAGATATGCCCTCTTCTTCTGGAAAGTGTGAGAGGTAGAGGGGAGCCATGCAGCCTGTTCACCATTCCTCATACCACCTTCTCACCTTCACGCTCACATACCAAAATCTTCTCTCCCCGGGCCTAGGGAAGAGGAGCTGAGGGACTTCTGCTGGAGGGACAGGGGATGCTCCACCTTGCATATCTATTAATATAGCTGCTCTAGATATTTCCTGCCCTGGCCTTGCTAGAAGCAGGGTGCTGTGCCCAATACCTGCAGTCACAGAAAGACTATCATTGTACCAACCTATTGAATGCCTCCACCTACCAGAGAGTCTTCCAGGGACTTTGCATCCTTCATTACCAGTTTCTACTGTAGTCTCACAAAGTGGACATTGCTGTCACCAACTTACAAATAAGGAGGCTAGCGCTAAGATCAATTACCTTATTAAATTAAATACCAAAAAATACAGTGGTGATCCAAGGAGGCCAAATAGGAACAGGTCCAGAGTGCAGTTCCCAAGAAGAACAATGCAGAGGGTGAGTGCTTACTGCATTTCCAAACAAGTTTTCACTGCCCACAGACCACGAGATTCCCGGGCTGAAAAGCGCCATGAGTTTTCAGCATGGCTGGTGCCTATTGTGCCATGGGTAGGCGCACAGAAACTCACACAAATCTGGGGGGCCTTTTCAACTGGCGCCTGGAATGCCTGGGAGACAGAGCCACCCATTCAACTGAAAGGGAGGGGGCTGAGACAGGGAACCAGATGATCTGGCTCGGCACGTAGCACCCCCACAAAACAAGCAATCTGAAATGCTCTGGATTGAGAGTTTCCCAGCAAGTTCAGCTGGACCTTGGACAGTCCAGCTCAGTTGGGGGAAGGGCATCCTCCACTACTGAGACAGTCCACCAATACCGAGGCAGTTCACACAGCAGCTGGGCAGAGCCTGTGACAGCTCAACAACACCTCTGCTGGTAGACTGTGACTAGATTACTCCGTGCTGGGCAGGGCATCTCTGAAAAAATGCAGCAGTATGTCAGGAACTTATAAATAAAGCCCACCTTCCTAGGACAGAGCACCTGGGAAAAGAGGCGGTTATGAGTTCCACTGGAGCAGATTTAAACGTACCTGCACAGCAGCTCTTCACAGAACAGTGGAGCTCCCAGCACAGCATTTGAGCTCCTATAAAGCACAGACCGTCTTCTCAAGCAGCTCCCCAGCCCCTGTATACCCAAAGAGACACCTCATAAAGGAGAGCTCAGGCTGACATCTAGGGGGTACCCTTCTGGGACGAAGATAACAGAAGAAACTGGCAGCAATATTTATTGTTCTGCATCCCCTGCCAGTGATCCCCATTGGTGTGCTGCATTCAGGAAACCCATCTCATGTGCAAGGACACAGATAGGCTTGAAATCAAGGGATGGAGGAAGATTTATCAAGCAAATGGAGAGCAAAAAAAAGCAGGAGTTGCAATCCTAGTCTCTGATAAAATGGGCTTTAAACCAACAAAGATCAAAAGAGACAAGGGCATTACATAGTGGTAAAAGGATCAATGCATCAAGAAGAGCTAATGATCCTAAATATATATGCACCCAATACAGAAGCACCCAGATACATAAAGCAAGTTCTTAACAACTTACAAAGAGACTTAGACTCCCACGCAATAATAGTGGGAGATTTTAACACCCCACTGTCAATATTAGACAGATCGACAAGACAGAAAATTAACAAGGATATCCAGGACTTGAACTCAGATCTAGACCAAGCAGACCTAATAGACATCTACAGAAATCTCCACCCCAAATCCACAGAATATACATTCATCTCAGCATTGCATTGCACCTACTCTAAAATTGACCACATAATCGGAAGTAAATCACTCCTCAGCAAATGCAAAAGAATGGAAATCATACCAGTCTTTCAGACCACAGGGCAATCAAATTAGAACTCAGAATTAAGAAACTAACTCAGCACTGCACAACTTAATGGAAACCGAAGAACCTGCTACTGAATGTCAACTGGATAAACAACGAAATGAAGGCAGAAATAAAGATGTTCTTTGAAACCAATGAGAACGAAGACACAATGTACCGGAATCTCTGGGACACATTTAAAGCAGTGTCTACAGGGAAATTTATAGCAATAAATGCCCACATGAGAAGTGAGGAAAGATCTAAAATTGACACCCTGTTGTCAAAATTGAAAGAGCTAGAGGAGCAAGATCAAAAGAACTCAAAAGCTAGCAGAAGAAAAGAAATAACTAAGATCAGAGCAGAACTGAAGGAGATAGAGACACACAAAAAAAAACCTTCAAAAAATCAACAAATCCAGGAGCTTTTTTTTTTTTTGAAAAGATCAACAAAATAGACAAACTGCTGCCAGATTAATAAAAAAGAAAAAAGAGAAGAATCAAATAGATGCAATAAAAAACAAAAAGGGGATATCACCACTGAGTCCACAGAAATTCAAGCTACCATCAGAGATTACTACAAACAACTCTATGCAAATAAACCAGAAAACCTGGAAGAAATGGATGAATTCCTGGAAACTTGCACCCTCCCAAGCCTAAACCAGGAAGAAGTTGAAACCTTGAACAGACCAATAACAAGGGCTGAAGCTGGGGCAGCAGTTAGTAGCCTACCAACCAAAAAAAGTCCAGGTGCAGATGGGTTCACAGCTGAATTCTACCAGAGGTACAAAGAGGAGCTGGTACCATTCCTTCTGAAACTATTCCAAACAATACAAAAAGAGGGAGTCCTTCCCATATCATTTTATGGGACCAACATCATCCTTATACCAAAACCCGGCAGAGACTGAAGAAAAAAAGAAAACTTCAGGCCAATATCCATGATTAACATCCATGCAAAAATCTTTAATAAAATACTGGCAAACCGATTGCAACAGCACATCAAAAAGCTTATCCATCACGATCAAGTAGGCTTCATCCTGGGGATGCAAGGCTGGTTCCACATATGCAAGTCTATGAACGTAATCCACCACATAAACAGAACCAAAGACAAAAAACACATAATTATCTCAATAGATGCAGAGAAGGCCTTCAACAAAATTCAACAGGCCCGTTATGCCAAAAACCCTCAATAAACTAGGTATTGATGGAACATAATCACAAAATAATAAAAGCTATTTATAACAAACCTACAGCCAATATACTGAATGGGCAAAAACTGGAAGCATTCCCTTTGAATTCTGGCACTAGACAAGGATGCTCTCTCTCACCACTCCTATTCAATATAGTATTGGAAGTTCTAGCCAGAGCAATTAGAAAGAAAAAAAAATAAAGGGTATTCAATTAGGAAAGGAGGAAGTCAAATTGTCTCTGTTTGCAGACGACATGGTTGTATAATTAGAAGACACTACCCTCTCAGCCCACAATCTCCTGAAACTGATAAGCAACTTCAGCAAAGTCTCAGGGTACTAAATGAATGTGCAGAAATCACAAGCATTTCTAATACACCAATAACAGACTAACAGAGAACTAAATCATGAGCGAACTCTAATTCACAATTGCTACAAAGAGAATAAAATACCTAGGAATACAACTAACAAAGGATGTAAAGGACCTCTTCAAGGAGAACTATAAACCACTGCTCAAGAAAATAAGAGAGGACACAAACTGATAGAAAAATGTTCCATGCTCATGGTTAGGAAGAATCAATATCATGAAAATGGCAATATTGCCCAAAGTAATTTATAGACTCAGTGCTATACCCATCAAGCTGCCAATGACCTTCTTCACAGGCCTGGAAAAAACCACCTTAAACTTCATATGGAACCAAAAGAGAGCCTGCATAGCCAAGACAATTCTAAGCAAAAAGGACAAAGCCGGAGGCATCATGCTACCTGATTTCAAACTATACTACAAGGCTACAGTAATCAAAACAGCATGGTACTGGTACCAAAACAGAGATATAGACAAATGGAACAAAACAGAGGCATTGGAGGCAATACCACACATCTACAACCATCTGATCTTTAACAAACCTGACAAAAACAAGCAATGGGGAAAGGATTCCCTGTTTAATAAATGGTATTGGGAAAACTGATTCCTTGTTTAATAAATGGTGTTGGGAAAACTGACTGGCCATGTGCAGAAAGCAGAAACTGGAGCCCTTCCTGATACCTTACACTAAAATTAACTCCAGATGGATTAAAGATTTAAACATAAAACCTAACACCATAAAAACCCTAGAAGAAAACCTAGGTAAAATCAGGACATAGGCGTAGGCAAGGACTTCATAACCAAAACACCAAAAGCATTGGCAACAAAAGCCAAAATAGACAAATGGGACCTAATTAAACTCCAGAGCTTCTGTACAGCAAAAGAAACAATCATTAGAGTGAACCAGCAACCAACAGAATAGGAAAAAAAAATTGCAATCTACCCATCTGACAAAGGGCTAATATCCAAAATCTACAAAGAACTAAAACAGATTTACAAGAAAAAAATGAACCCATCCAAAAGTGGGCAAAGGATATGAACAGACACTTTTCAAAAGAAGACATATATGAGGCAA